TTTGCCAAACTACGAAGTTTACAGAAAAAAGGTTCAAATTGAGAACGGCTTTGTATTGTGATAAAAATTAAACGTAAACATTTCTATAAATTTTTGGGCAGAGTTTTGAAGGTTTGTGTTTTTACACATTTGAAATCATCAATCAATTATTGTTAGACCACCATGAGAAACCTGGAAGCACTGGACGGTCGTTTCGTCCTGGTATTGGACTCATCAGTAGCAGTGCGCATCCACGACTCCTGCACCTCTCTGGATTCGAATCCGGATGTGCACTGCTGATGAGCTTCATACCAGGACGAAACGACCGTCCAATGCTTCCAGGTTTCTAATGGTGGTCTAACAATAATTGATTGATGATTTCAAATTTCTATAAATATTCGATAAGATGACATAAGCTGACTTGTCAATTGAAAAATTAAGAAACCGAATAATTAACTGGCTTAGTTTATCTTTCCAAAGGAACATAGAATTGTATTACTACTTCTAACTATATAATTTATTGAGATACTGATATTTCCTGAAATTTTGTAAACTTTTACATTCAAGTGCATAACTGTTTGGAAGTTACATGAATTAAACATGTAGGTGAATAGTTTAGAATAATTTCGATGATATAAACGAAGTTCAATAAAGTTTCGACATCAGTCATCTAAATTATTTCAATAATATTTAATTGAACGTATCAGATAATGTTTCAATTGACATAATTTAGTAAATTAATCAACAAGTCTTGAAAGCGTGAAAGTTTGATCAAATTCAAAGTAGTCATGGTCATAATTTATAGTTTTTATGCACTAACCAGACTAGTCAAGCCATTACATGGGTCAGTGAACCTCCCATTTTTAGATCAAAATGAGGTAACACAAGTATCAAATTAAAAAAAACTGATCATGTTCATGAAGAAAAGTTTAAAATTCATCACATATATGATAGGTACAATAGTATTAACAACTAGTACTCTATAACAAGGAAAAGAATGACTCTGAAATACATGAACTTCTTTTAAAACGAAAAGGCAAATGATATATTTCAGCATGTTGTGATAGAAAAATGAAATAAAAGATCAGACCATTTGTAATTAAAGATTTTTCGAAAATGTGATAAACACTATGTTTTCGCTAAAGGGAGTTTAAGAAATATTGATGTATTTTACTGAAATTGTTCTTGAGAATAAAATCCACAAAAATTCATTACGATTGAATATAAGGTTTATAAATTTTAACCCAGTGAGAAAATTCAGGGGTAGATAGATCATTTTAAATGTTAGGCAAAAGTCTAAACATTCAACTGAGTAGTTCAAGAGAAAATTGGATACTTACAAAAGGAATAATATGAGCTATTAACTGTCTGTCACAAAAAATACATAAATTTGGGCTCTATATAAAAAATATTCTGCCAAATGCTTTGGGGAATTTTAGACTTATAAGCATCGCATCAGAATTGTGTTAATATCTCAAAAATTCACAATCTCAAACATAACAAACCCTTCAAGTTCGGGATAATCCTAAACGTCGATAAGACTTTAATTAACATGATTAAATTCTCGTTTAAAAAGGCAGTCACCCTTTGACAGCAAAAATCTTTGAACAAGTTTAAAAATCGAATCAAACAAAAAGATTCTGAGCCAAACATTATTACAAAATATAATGGTGGTTTTGCGACATCCGAATAGATATTCACAAGATTATCAAGCAAAAATGTACAACAATAACTCACTTCTCCAACTTGAAATTGAACTTTCTTCAAACTCATCCATTTTCCCACTGTCAGGAGGATATAAAGTAACTAACACCTTAATGAAGTCAGTTATAGTCAGAATGCCAGCATAATCGTGTTTCGATGAATCCCATAGTATAGCAGCTCGAACATTATTAAATATAAGTGCATAAAAGGCCTTTTTAATCTAAATATTAAAGTAATTAGATCTACGTAATTTTGAGTTACTTACACTAAGTTTAGTATCCAGGATAACAAGTTTGGCACTTTCAGGAAGTAAATCATAGCAAGTGTGGTATTTTAGAAAGACATAATAGCTGCTTTTTTCAGGTTCTACTGGAATTAAAATAAGTAATCAAACTCACCCAAAGACTCAACTGTTAAAACAGAATTCAAACGCCCACTCTAAACATCATAAAACAAACATAATTTTTATTGTATAAGAGTAAACCTGACTGTAAAATACCAGCGGGCTTACATCGTCTAGTTTACTCTTTTTGATAACATGATTCAACTCGTCCCTTTCATCTCCTGAGCGCGTAAGCGTATTTAGATATTCCATTAGTGCGCTATTGCTGTGTGACCTAGCTTCCAATATCCAATATCTGATTCGTGAACTGGTAAAAACCAATTGATTTATTTGCGCTCGATTCTTGTTCTTTCGGCACAGTTCTAGGTGTTCGATAGTATCCAATTGATAGGTTTCCAGCCACTTTACTGCACTAATTCAAGTCAGTTGGCACTTAGTGAGTTTGTGATTTTT